GCATAGAAGCGATAGATGGAAGCTCACATTTCCGGTTACCATCAGTGTTGGAATGGGAGACCTTACCAGATATCCGCAGCGAAATCTCAACACCAGAGGCGGCAAGAAAAATACCTCACTTAGCACACATAGCTGATTTAATCCCTCCTCTAGATCCTGAAGCTAAAATCCTACTCATGGTGGGAAGAGACACCCCAGACTCCATTGGCTCCGATGAGAGAATCAAAGGCCCACCAGGAACCCCAGTAGCCATTAAGACGGAACTCGGATGGGCCATAGGAGGGACAGTTTGTGTTGATCAAATGCAAACCCCAACCCAGGTGAGCATATCAAACACCTCCATTCCCGGTAATGGAATAGCACCTCACCTAAAACCACACCTAGAACACTGCACGCTTGTGACAACCAAACCTGTTTTGGAAGCAACAGTGTGCCAGATAAGCAAAAATCACAACTTAGCCTTGTCCATAGAGGACAAACAAGACAAACAACGTCTGCAAGACTGGGAGTCATGGAGTATACTTCCAAGATGCCCCAAGAGTATGCAAGTGCAGTGCACGTATGTTTCCAGCTCACCTGCCACAGTGCAAAAGAAAGAATTGTATGCTTCCTTAGATGTGTCAACGAAGGCAAATGCAGCCTTAAGATGCGTCACAGTCTACAGCGGGGAGAGCCACACTTACGTCATATTGTTTGCAACCATAAGATACATCAGAGTCTACAGCGGGGAGAGCTGCAGTCTCGGTGTCTTCTTTGGAAAAGCGAGACTAACAATACATGAAGGCCACACCGTACCAAGGTTAGAACTTTGTGGTACCACTTTGGCTGTAAAGCTCACCAACTTGATAGCGAAGACGTTGCGCCTTGAACTACAGTCTACCACCTTCTACGCCAGTGGTTCTCAACTTTTTAATGCCGCGACCCCAACCGGTCGTAAGTCGAGGACTAAACCAGTCGTAAGTCGAGGACTAAACCGGTCGTAAGTCGAGGACTTTCCCTGCCCGGGAGCGCCGCGCATGCGTAGTTCCGCCCCCTGCGCCGGCCGAGGCGTAGCTGGCAAGCGGCAGAGACGGAGCAGGCCGACCACCAGCTGGCCCAGCCCAAGGGAGGTAAGGCACCCACCGGAAAAGGGGGAAAAATGGCGGACAAAAAAAAATGGTGGACAGCCTTGCTTGGCGACCCCCATGAAATGGCCAATCGACCCCAAATGGGGTCCCGACCCACAGGTTGAGAACCACTGTTCTACGCAGACAGCAAGGAGATGTCAAGCTACATCTACAAACAAAGCAGACATTTCTATGTCTATGTAGGTAACAGAATGAAAAGAGTTGAAACATCTTTGAGCCCTGAACAATGGCAACATGTGCCAACAGGTAACAACTTTGTGAACCAAGTGAAGTGGCCCAACCTTGCCACACAGTTAACAGAATTGACCTGGCTAGAAAGTCCTGAGTTCTTGGTCTGTTCAAATAGACAAATGCCACAGAGACCAAAACGCTATGTACTTCCAACTCCAGATCAACGTGCCAACCTCCAACTTCAGGCACCCAGTAAACGTCAACCAATCCGCTTCAAGTGCCTGCCTAAGTGGAAGCACCTGAGATTAGGCATAGTTTTGATCGTCTTGATCACTTGTCTTAGCATCCCAAGAATGAACCTTATAGGAGTCTGCAAGGACTTACAGACTATTGAAGACATTTGCCATGACCCAGTGATTAACAAATGCCTGACGGCCAAAAATTGCCTTCCCCATACATCTCACATGGGCGAAGCGCGCATAGGCGAAGTGTGGGAGCACATGATTGGTGCACCCCGTGAAATCATGGACTCTATGTCGTTAAAGACACCCACACCTGCGCATGAAGTCCTCACTACCCTGATGACAACAGTAGCAGCCATCTTCAATACTCCATCGGTGGTTCCAGACACCTCGGTTCCTGAGTATCCTGAGTCTTCTGCAGCTGCTGTTGCTCCTAATTCTTCAGTTCCAGCTGTGGTTCCTGATTCTTCAGATCCAGCTGTTCCTGAGTATCCAGCTGTTCCTGTGTTTCCAGATCCAGCTGTTCCTGTTTTTTCAGGTTCTTCAGTTCCTGAGTATCCTGTGAATCCAGTTCCTTTTGTTCCTGAGAAGCTTTGGGTTCCAGTTTTTCTGTTCCAGATTTGGTTCCAGTTTCTTTTACAGGAAGAAGGCCTTGTCTCGCTTAGAGACAAGAACGCATACTAGAACTATTGGCCCATGAGACTTGCACAACGGGCCCACCCTGTTGATGAACTACTTTGCCGAGCTGAGATCCAGATCGTGAAGCCACGTGAGTCAGGTCGTGACTCAAAGACACTTGTACCAGGGTGATCGCCGATTTGGTCCCGTTGATGATGAAGACTGAACCAGAAGATCAAACCTCAAATTATGTATTGTGTTTATGCATTGTTTGATACCAAGTTTTTACCTATGTAGTCACAAGTTAGTTAACAT